GGATGAATGATAATAAACTTAATTGAGGATGCCAACTAGTGACTTATAGAAGGGGCCTCATAGACCCATCTGACCTTTTATCAGATCATAAAACAAAAGATATTGTTTTATTACAAAAATTAAAAAGTTTAAATGGGACACTTAATTAAATGTGCAACTATAGTGGCGATGCACTTAGCTTTGAGTAGACACCCAAAACAGGGATGGCACTCCAACAGACAAAACAAATATTGCAAATTAACGTAAAAAAAATTCCTAACTGGCAGGAAAATTAAATATGTTTATATTCAATGATTGTTTTGTTAGTACACTACAATTTGACCTGAGTCTGAGCATAGCCTGTTTGCAGCCTCACCTCTGAGTGACACACGCAAGCAGTGAAGAGCAAGTTCATTCAGGCAAAGTGATTTGGTGGGAGGAGTCTGGTAAAAAGGGGTTAGCCTGCTTGCAGGCTACATGTAAGTTTGAGTGAAGATACCTTTAGTTTGGGGAACATGGAGTAGAGAAGAAAGACTTTGCATTCCCTTTTGCAATTGTTTTTTTAAAAATCTTAACAGTTCTATCTATCCATACACTTATTCTAAAACAACACCTCCACCACATAAGGATTTCTTAGTATGGTTCTGCATAAAGTTGTAGTTACCCTAAACACCTAATATAGACCCTATTCATATATGGCTGCCAATTTAAAATCATTTTGTATGCATTAAAATTAGCCCAACTAACCTCGTTTGAGAGTAAAAATTCTTTTGAATTATCAACTCGCAAATGAGATTAGTTGGGCTAATTTCAATACTAACAAATCATTTTTGATTAACAGCCATTTATGAATAGGGTCTATTTTGAACTTCAACCCATTCCTTAAAATTTGCCTTCGTTTTATTATGATTTACTACCAGCTATTTTACACTTTGTTTTGAATTTAGTTGAATGGCCATGGTAGAGTTCAAAGAGCAAGTTCAACCAATTTGACCTTTTTATTGCTTTTTAATAAAGCGGTTTTCATTTGAGTGTCAAAAATTGGTTTTGCACTCACTCTGCTTTGTTATTGGCTTAAAAACTTATGCTACTTTTTCATCCAGTCATAAGTAAAACCACACCAATTTTGACTCGTTTGCATACGTTTTCCCTCACTTCGCTTCAGTTACATATAACTACTTTGAGTATTGATTGGTGCACTGTATTGTCTATGTCCTTTGTGGTTGGCTAGAATGATTACTTTGGTTTTGGTTTTGGTTTTACAACAGTCAATTGAAAACTGTTCTAATCTTGCACCGTGACTAATTTCATTTCTAGATGTTCTCTTCTGGCTCTTGGCCAAAGAAAATTTACAGGCATCATTTGACTATCAAAGCATCCATTCCTACATGATCTGCCTTTAACTTCAAAGGTCTTACTTCACATTACTTACAGGGAATCTTTGCTGAAAAGCAGTGCACGTACTTACGTAACGGTTCTGTTTGACTGATCCTGGAGTTTTACACCCGCTTTCAGTGTTATATGTATGGGCAACATCTTTCGACCATCTTTTGACATGCTATGTAACCTGGCCTACATCAAAAATGTAAGCACAACAGACTTCTTTATGGTCTGACTTGACTTTTAGTCATGAAAGACTGAAATATATTTGACATCAATTTAAGGCTAGGTATGGTTGCCGGATTGTTGCAATATTTAATAAGATACAATTTATATTCAGTAATTCATATTTTTATTCAGTAATCGTCATTTTATATTCAATGTGTCATATTTTTGTTCACTAAACTCATTTTTAATTCGGTGACTCATATTTTTGTTCAGCAATCATCATTTTATATTCAATGTGTCATATTTTTGTTCAGTAAAACTCATTTTATTCAGGAACACATGATTTGGGTCATGACTTATCTGAGTTGAAAACAAGTGGAAATTTTGCTTCAGAGTTGCCTACATTTAGTTGAAAATGCCGGAAAGGTGCGTTGCCGCTCTTTGTAACAACGTTAATGATCCAGAAAACAACATCAGTCTTCATCGTAGGTTCCTGAACCTACGTCACAGGCATCTGCAGTCTCATGGCCATTTTGAGCACGTTAATCTTGTTGATCTTAGCTGTCAAAGTATCCTTTAAGGTGGCTCCCTATAGTTTTATGATCCCAAACGCGCTGAGGACGAAAGCTCAAGTAATCTGTGCGTGCTCAAAGGATAATGCCGGTGTTTTTTGATTTTTATGACGTCAACATGAGCACAAACAGCAAAACTGACAGTGAATTTTCTCGCGTTCCCTTTGGTGAAATTTCGAAAAATTTGACAGACTGGTAGTAAGTATTTTACTTTAGTGGGGGTTTGTTCTTCAGGGAAATCTATAAGACCAGTTTTTTGGCAGCGGTAAAAGACATAAATTTGCAAAAATTGAAATACCTGCCTTTGAAACCCCACTTTTTTTGTGTTTGAAATTCATATCCTGCAGGATGTGAGATGCTGTGAAAATTTTGGAAGATTTCACCGAAAGAATTTCAAGAAAATCACAAATAAAGCCATAAAAAAGTAAAAAACGCATTTGTTTGAGCATTTAAAATTCAAGACTACATGTAAAACCCATAATTTTAACAGAGATGATAGTAAAATACTATTTAATACATTGCTTATTACATGTAATAAGTTTGAGAGGACTATGTGTAAAAATGAAAGCAAAAACGGCATTCAAAACATAGCACTTGCACGTGCAACGCCNTAACAACGTTAATGATCCAGAAAACAACATCAGTCTTCATCGTAGGTTCCTGAACCTACGTCACAGGCATAAGTCTCGTGGCCATTTTGAGCACGTTATTCTTGTGATCAGCGGCAGGGGTCGACCGCTAGAAAATAGAATTTTGAACTTTGTAAAGATTCGTAAAAAAAATTGCGTTTTATCCAAATCGAGAAATTTTCTCGCAGAAGCTCATTAGGTGAAATGGAGAATTAGATGAGCGAAAAAAAAAGTTTTGACATTATGGGCACTTTAATTCCTGCTACAGACCATCAACCGTTACAAAGTATAGTTGGATCCCGCTAATTCGAACTGCATTATTGCGAACTCAAAACTATTTCTCTTGAATTTGCCCTCCAGTCGTTTACTATCAGCTATTTTGAACGATTTTTCACTCCCTTGAGAGTTCAAAATAGTGGGATTCACTAAACTCTGTAGGAGTAAGGACTGCTATATAAAAAAATATAAAGATACATTATTTGAGTCTTTCTTGTCTTTATACAGATGGCGTGAAGTGCTGACGTCGTCAGCTCCAGGGCACATGGCAACCATGCAAAAGCTTGTGATAAGGATGCCGGAAGTCGCTACAGTAAGGAGACGTACTGTGTTCTTGCATCTTCATGAAAAGACTTAGTCATTGTCTGAATTCCAGTGATTAGAGTTTAGAGTTTTCTCTCATCAGTAGAAATCAACTGAACTGTGCCTGTTTTTCGCCTTTCTAGCGATTTATGGATCAGTGTGTTACAAAAGATGGAAACCCCGACAGTGAAGATTACAAAGTAAGTTATATGTTCAAACACCATGAAGCGTCTAATAACCAAATTAAAAGTGAACTAATTTCTCCTACAAAATCAATATATTTTCAAGTAAACAGACGATGAGAATAAAGAAGACCATCAAAAAGGGGAAATCATTTGTGTGCTACCAAATTCTAAGAACTAACATTAAACGACGTGTAGTGAACATAGGTGCCGAGAGTGTTTTAAGCTTGTAACATCCTGGAAACAGCACTCCTCTGTGTTACATACGAGCCACTGCGCTCCGCTGTCGACTCGTTGCTACGACTTCGCCGCTCACTTGTGTGATTCAGATTCAAGCGGGAGATTTAAGCCCGCTCGTTGGCTAAGTTTGTATATGTAGAAACGATGCTGATACCAAGGAGTCATGAATGGCAATATTTATTCTATGAGCTTAGATACTTGAACGTGCTTTGTACAGTACGGTATGCCTATTTGTATAGTAGTATAGTTAACCAAATATCTTTGAAATTTTGGCTTCTATTACCTATGCTCGTTGGAATCACGAGTAGCGCAGTTAATTCATTCTGTGAGACAAACATGAAGCTTGGAAATTCAATATAGTACTTCGAGCTCTGGCCGAGATCATTACGTTGTGTTCTTGGCGAGGACACTTCATTCTCACAGTGTCTCTCTCCACCCAGAAGTATGGGTACCTGTGAATTTAATGCTGTAGATTTTTACCTTTTGTTGCTTTTTTAACCAGATAACATACGATTTCACGATGATTCAAGGAGCTCAGAAGCCTGACGAAGACCCTTTGATTTTACTTAAGGTAGGAACATACAAAAATGCGTTTTTTCTTACTATAGTCGAACCTCTCCATGACGACAACCCTTGGGACAGAGGAAAGTGGGCATTAAGTGGCAGTTATGGGGAAGTAGGAGCGTAATATGACATCTGCCTTCTTCGGGTTTGCAACATTTTTATTTTTAGAAAATGCTCATTGTGACATGAAAATCGTAACACAATTAAATCATATCAATAAAAACAAAAATAGAGCCCAACGAAGCGCGGAACGGATCACGCTTCTTAACCTTTTACAATGCGAACTTTGGGTTTTGTATACACCGTTCGTCAGTCATTGATTAACTGTCTGTGGTCAAGAAGTTATTTTGGGAGTTGAAACGCACTTTAGAGGCCGTTGCCATTGTGGAGAGGTCAGTGAGCGTTGTAGAGAGGTTAAAACAAGAGTAAATGTATGGACCGTCTGTAAGAACAGAAAAAAAGACGCCGTTGGAGTGAGGTGGCCGTTAATGGAGGTTCGACTATGTTTTATAGTAAAGTGATAATTATCGTAAATGATTCTATCTGCTCTTTATCCCAGACAATGATAAAGCATCGTCGCATTAACTGTTTGACTCATCCAGTTTGTTTCGCTGCCATGAACAAAAAATGGTAAGATCATTATTAATGATTATTTCATTTAGCGGGATCTTTAAAGAGGATCTTGTAACACTAGAGACACTAATTTCAGGCGAACTAGCCGTATGCAATGTGAAGCATTCAGGAAATATTTTACTCAGGTGCTCTGTTTCTCAACAGATATTGATTGACAAAGATGTGACGATTTTTTATTATTTTTCACATTGTGTACAGGAATACATTGAGACTGATGTGCCGTGTCAATTGAATCGTCTGGTAAGGCACCACCTGGTATAACTTCTTGTGACGTAAATGTTTGTGCAGTTTAGCCCCACACCTCCTCCACTGATAACCATTCAGCGAGCCGTCATATCTGAGTTAACCGTCGTTTGACGTACACCTTGATTACATTAGACACAGGCAGACATGTACCATACAAACCTATTTGCATCTCTTATAATAAACAGAGAAGAGGGTTCCGTACAAAATATAGAGCTTGATCATTTGACCTTTGGAATGCAGTATGGATCTTTGCACATGGATCTTGTTCTTTAACAGCAAATTAAAATTGTGACGATAAAAATAAAGGCCACTGAAGCTGTCGTTTAACTATAATCGTACCTTAACTGACCGTAGTATCGACTTCGCTTCGTTTCCACGCCAAACGGCAAACTAAAAGTTCAACCCTCTAGATCAGATCGCCATCTTGGATTTTGCCTTCCGAGAACATCCTGGGTACGAGGTTGTTCCTGGAAGTCAGGTGGTGTTAAAAGGGCAGGTAATGAGTGACAGCGGTCAAACGCAAAGAAATCAACGACACACGGCATCGAAGTCTTCCAAGAGTTTGAGGCGAAAGTGTGCAAGACTTTTACGTTATGAAAAAAGAAAAAGCGGAAACGAACGATGGCATAAATCAAATTACGAAAGCAATTCAGTGACTTTCGACTTGAAACCAGACTTGAAAACGGGGGATTTCGCGAATTTGCGGCCGTATCGCGAGAGAAAGTTTTGGCGGGAAAGACAGCGGGCGACGCGCGTGTGGTACATTATACCGCTGTGGAGACGGTAATGGCAACTTAATAGTTGTATTAAAGAACACGGAATTCTTGACATTGTTGTTTCAATTGTTATTGTTGCTACTGTTTTTGTTTATTGCGATAAATATGTTTTTTGCAGGAATCTCAGATTATTCAATTTGCAGTCGGGGTTATCACGTTGTCTCACATGATAAAGCAAATCGTTCAGTTCAGACAACAGGTTGGTTTCGACCTCGATCCGTGCGCGCCTTATTCCGATCTTCCTGTCTTCATTATTTGCATCTTTTACTTAATTTGTTTTTTGGTTTACTTTTTTGCCATTTATAAATATATTTGTAAAATATCAATGTATATAGCGCCGTAGCTAGTAACAAGCAAACTGAGGCACTTGCCTTAGTCATTTTTTTGTGATCCCAGTGTTGTGTTTAATACATGTAGTCATCATAAAACCCTAAGTACCTACGAAGGGAATTTAACCATAGATATTACCTCAGTCTTCCTCAAGAACACAACTCAATGTTCTCGGCTAGGGCTCGAACCCGTACCGTTGAATCCGGAGACGAGCGCGCTAACCATGCATGAGGCCAACGCGCCTCCCAACATGACACTTATTTCTTTCTGCTGTAGGGATTGAAATACCTTCGTTCGTTGACGAATTATCTGGAGTGGGCTGCTTATGGCATGACACTCTTTTACGTTGTACCGCCCTGTGACTGTAAGCTGGGATTCAAACAGGAGTTCGGAGCCGTAGCCTTGTTTATCGCATGGATGAACCTAATTCTGTTCCTCAGAAGGTAATGCGCCATTTGTTGTAAAGACTCCCGGGGGATATCCCCTATAATGGCCTATACGGGGAGGCTTTCCCCGAAAGGGGTACCTTTTTCAGACTTCCGCAATATAAAAGGGTAGGGATTTCACAGGTTGAGGTATACGAAAAGGAAGGGAAATCTGTCATTTAGTCATTTTAAAGGGCCTATAATTAAAATGTTCTCAACGGACGCACCTTATGGCTGTATCATTTCATTTATTAGCCACAATATGAAAATGACAAGAAGGCTTACTTTTAAGCGATTTATTCCTAATATGGACCAGTTATGAAAGTATATGACAGGGATACCTTTTTTAATTAAAGGTGTACGAAAGGGGTACCTTTTTCGGTCAAAGTGGTAGACAAAAGGGTAAGGGGTTGGCGGAGCGTCCCCTTGTAGAACTTTGTAGAGGTAAAAGACCATTTTCGTATTCTCGGTGTTGGGCTGGAACTAGCTTGCAAATGAGGCTAATGCGTGGATTCGTTTCAAATGCAAATGACATTTCAAAATCTCTTTTTAATGATATTCTCCCGCATGAGCCTCCATTACAAGCTTGTTCCAGTTCAATACCGAGAATACGAATCAGTACGCGGCCTTTTAAGAGCGCATGAACTAGGAGAGTCAAAGAGACGTTGCCCTCGAAGGCTATATTTGTCTCTAATATAACAAACATCGAGAAACTTGTGTTACAGAATTTTTCACAGTCTGTTGAACAAGGTGCCAGTTTAAGAAATCCTCTTTAAAGTTCCAGACGAGCTCCTTGTATGACTGTACTCATTGCTATTGAAAACAGCCTTGTCTTAGCAATTTTCATGTCTTTTTTCATAGGTTTTCCTCGTATGGTCAATATATAATTATGCTTACAACAATGTTTGGCACTCTATTCAAGGTGCGTAATTTCAATTGGTTCCACTATTTAATGAAGTTGAGAGTAAAGTATATTTTCTTATCTCTCCTGTTTGTGTACAATGCCGCAAAATATTGAACAAAGTATCAAATGGTTTTTTCAGGTCCTTCTGTTGTTTTTCTTGTTCGTCATGGCATTCAGCACAACGTTTTTTCTGCTCTTAGATGATGAAACGGTGAGACGCTGTAATCATTATCATATTGGTTCAAGACTGATCTTAAGTACATCCATGTTTTCTCGTTGATATTAATATTATATCAAAAGCGTAACCAGAACCGAGAACATTACATTTCATGTGATAGATGTGAATCTCCGACACTATAGAGGTTTATTTCTTGTTTTGGTTAAACGTTAAAAACTGCGGTCTTATCAAGCTGGAAGCAGAAAGTCAGAAACTCTGAATAATGAAAACAAAGCGGTTTCCAATCTGTCAATGAATCCACTTCACTTACGTAAAGTTGTTTTACACTCTCACTCACTGACGTTTTCTATGGCAGGTTTTCAAAAAAAAAAAATGTCGAGGAAAAGGTTGTTGTAATTCATCGTGGTAGATGCAATAATAAAGTGTATTATCGTTTGTCTCACGATGTAGTCACTTGAGATGTAGATCGCGACGTTTCGACTGCTTACTGCTA